GCCTGCATCTTTTAGTCCTAAGTGGCAGCAGTGATTTTGCTAAATCAACTGTTTAAAACACTTTGTAAATGTTTATGCATTTGACTCCAGTCTACCGAGCCAAAAGTCAAAAGTTATACCCACAATTATTTACTAGACATGCTTCTCTCTCTCACTCTTGACTTAATTACTGTTACTAATAAGTGCATATCAGACTAATGTGGGACCATGCCCTTAAGCTTCCTAAATGTCCTTTTTACCAGTTGAAAAGGCATACCACAGGTTCTCAATTTTCTTAGCCTCAGGTTATCTTTTATACTATTAAAAATTATTGAAGACTCCAAAGAGCTTACCTTAGAAAATTCTAGAAAGTACAAGAACCCATTCCATTAGATATCAGGGCAATGATGTAATCACATGTCACATAAGCACTGGAAAACTTCACTCTATGCTCATGAGAAAATAAGAATGAAAAAGGACAATGTCTTACTTAGTACTGTTATGAAAATAATTTTGACCTCACAGGCCCCCAAAATGATCTTAGGAATTCTCAGGGCTCAGCAAACCACATTTGGAGAATTACTGGTCTACTAAAAGACACTTTTTCTCCTTTCAGAGGTTCTAACTATAGATTCCATAGCCACACCCTTGATTTTCCCACAAATAACATAAATCTAAACAGACTCTGTCTTTACCTTTTTAACTCTGTAGTCTTTTTTAAGAGCTCCACCTATCTAAGTATGTGGAACTTGATAATTTAATACATAATTTTTTACTAGAAATATGCAGTGATTATCTACAGTATTAACTTGTTTGGCATTCTGTTAACTTTAACTGCAAAGTAATACATCTAAACCTTATTGATACAAGGTAAGAAGAATCTTGAAAAGAAATAGAGCGGAGAGACTAAAAATTAGAGTTCATGATTTGCCAAGTAGGATGGTCCTACTGGAACCTCAAGAGTTTGTTTGAAACTCTGAAGGGTTACACCTTAAAAATAAAAATAAACCAGGAATTTAAACTCAACTTGGAAACACCTCAATCCCTGATTGCGTTATGATGACATGGGTGTGCTCATTCCCCTAGCCTAACTGCCTGCCACAGTGGAAGTAAATGTTCTCAGGGAGAAGATAATAGCATTCAGAGACTCAAAGTATTTCTACAATTTTTTATGATATCAATAACTCAATAAAGAAATATTCAAGAAGACCAGATGACACTGGTCATGTGACCAAAAACTGAGAGAAATAATGTAAAATAGAAACAAAAGCATAAGATATCCAGATATTAGTTATCAGACACAGACTTCCAAATGAATAAGGGAGGGGCAAGATAGGGGTAGGGGATTAAGAGGTACAAACTACTATGTAAAAAATAAATAAGCAGCAAGGCTGTATTGTACAGCACAGGGAATGTAACTAATATTTTATAATAACTATAAATGAAGTATAATCTTTAAAAATTGTGAATCACTATGTTGTACACCTGAAACTTATAAATTTATTTTTGGCTGCACTGGGTCTTTGTTGCTGCGTACGGGCTTTCTCTAGTTGTGGCCAGCGGGGGTTGTGGTGCGTGGGCTTCTCATTGCAGTGGCATCTCTTGTTGCAGAGCACGGGCTCTAGGCACACAGGCTTCATATAGTTGTGGTGCACAGGCTTAGTTGCTCCACAGCATGTGGGATCTTCATGGACCAGGGCTCAAACCTGTATCCCCTGCATTGACAGGTGGATTCTTAACCACTGCACCACCAGGGAAGTCCCTGAAACTTATATAATACTGTAAATCAACTATATCTCAATTAAAAACGAAAAAAGAAAAGATTTGCTGTAGGTTTTTGGAAGATATATTTTGTCAGGATAAGGAAAATTTCTTCTATTCATAGTTTACCAATTTGCTGAATTTTATCACATACTCTTTCTGTATCTATTGAGATTATCCTTATTGGATTGGTGATTTAAAATAACGGATTTGTTAAATTATCCTTGTTTACTCAAGATAAATTCAAATTAACTATAAAAGTTATATGCGATAAACACATATATGTGTATGTTATGTACTACACACACTTTTTCTATAGCTTTGTTTCAGCATAGTTTACAAAAAATAAATTTAACTTAAAAAACCTAAAATTAATATATTTAAGGAATTAAATTATAAGATTCACCAAGAGAATTAGAAACTATAAAAAAGAACAAAATGGAAATTCTAAGCTAAAAAATAAAATAGATGATATTAAATACTTACCAGATTAGGTAAATACTAAATTAGACATAGCTGAAGAGAAAAATAGTTTCTGCTAAAATTTTTATTATTACATTGAATCTAAAAATCAACATGGTAAAAACTGACATTTAACAATGTTGAGCCTTCCAGTCTATGAACACAGTATGTCATTTATTTAGGTTTACTTTCTCTCAGTAATGTTTTGTAGAATGCAGAGTACAGGTCATGCATAACTTTTATGAAATTTATACCTCAGTATCTCATATTTTTGATTCTACTGTAAGTAATATTAACTTTTAATTTCAATTTGTTTTTTGCTAGTATATAGAAATGCAATTGATTTTTGTATATTGACCTTGTATACTGTAACCTTATTAAATTCACGTATTAGTATTAAATTTTTAATATATTCCATAGGGTTTTCTATATAGTTGAATACATCATCTGTGAAGAGACTTCTTTACTTCTTCCTTTGTAATATGGATACCATTAATTTCTTTGCTTTGTCTTTGATCTTAGGGAAAAACCATTCACCATTAAGTACAAGGTTAGCTGCACGTTTTTCTTAAGATGCCCTTTATCTAAAACTAGAACTACCATATGATCCAGCAATTCCACTGCTGGGTATATATCCAAAGAAAACGAAAACACTAATTTGAAAAGATTTAGGCACCCCAGTGTTCATAGCAGCATTATTTATAGCAGCCAAGATATGAAAGCAACCTAAGTGCCCAATAACAGATGAATGGGTAAAGAAGATGTGATATATATAATACATATATAATATATATTGTAATATTATATGTATATAACTCAGGCATAAAAAGAATGAAAGTCTGCCATTTGCAACAACGTGGATGGACCTAGAGAGTATTATGCTTAGTGAAATAAGTCAGACAAAGACAAATACTCTGTTATTGCTTATATGCGGAATCTAAAAAATAAAACAAACAAATGTGTATAAAAAAACAGAAACAGACTCACAGATATAGAGAACAAACTAGTGGTTACCAGTGAGGAGAAGGAAGAGAGGAGGGGCAAGATAGGGGTAGGAGATTAAGAGACACAAAATACTTTGTATAAAATGAGCAACAAGGACATACCTTACAGCACGGGGAAATATAGCCATTATTTTGTAATAACTTTAAATGGAGCATAATCTATAAAAATATTTCATCACTATATTGCAAAACTGAAATTAATATACTATTGTAAATCAACTATACTTCAGTTTTAAAAATTTTAAAAAAGATGCCCTTGGGAATTCGCTGGCTGTCCAGTGGTCAGGACTCCGCATTTTCACTGCCAAGGGCCTGGGTTCAATCCCTGGTCGGGGAACTAAGATCCTGCAAGCCATGCAGCACAGCAAAAAAAAATAAGTAAAAGACGCCCTTCATCAAGTTGAAGAGGTTCTCTTTCATTCTTACTTTGCTGAGAATTTTTAATCAGAAATAAATGTTGGATATTGTCAAATGCTCTTTTTGCATTTATTGAGATGATCATATGGTTTCCCTATGTTAGTCTGTTAACATAGTGAATTACATTAATTTTATAACGTTAGCCCAAATTTGCATTCTTGAGATAAGCCTAAGTCATATGTATTATTTTTTATACATCATTGGATTCCAATTGCTAAAATTTTGTTTAGTACTTCTCTATCTGTATTTCTGATAAATATTGGTTTGTAGTTTTCCTGTGATTTTGGTGTTAGGGTAATGCTGACCTCAAACAATAAGTTGGGAATTATCCCCTCTTCTATTTCCTGGAAGCATTTGTTGAGAATTGGGATATTTTCTTCTTTAAATATTTTAAAGAATTCACCAGTGTAGCCGTTTAGGTTTGGCATTTTCTTTGTCAGAAATATCTGCAGAATCTGTAGTGATGTCACTTCTTTCATTCCTGATATTGGTAATTTAAGGGGGTTTTTATGTTTCTCATCAATCTAGCTAAATGTTTATCAATTTTATTGATCTCAAAGAACTAGCTTTTAATTTCACTGATTTTCTCAATTGATTTTGTTTCCTATTGCACTGAGTTCTTCTCTAATCTTTTTTCTTTTCATTTGCTCCTTTTGGGTTTTACTTGCTATTATTTTTCTAGCTTAAGGTGGAAGCTGAAGTTATTGAGTCCTTTCCTTTTCTAATACAGGTATTTAACGATATAAATTTCCCTGTAAGTACTGCTTTAGCTGATTCCCACAAATTATAATGTTTTCATTTGCATTCAGTTCATTATACATTCTAATTTTTTATTTCATCTTTTTATGTTTAAGCAATTTGTATCTTTATATTTAAAGTGGATTTCATGGATTCAGTATACAGTTGGATAAAAAAGATTCACTCTCATAATAAGGGTAACGACAACTTATACTTAATGCAATTACTGATACTGCTGATTAAATCTACTATTTTACTGTTTATTTTCTATTTGTCCCATTTATTCTTTGTTCCCCTTTCTTCTTTTCCTTCCTTCTTTTGGATTATTTTCTATGGCTACATTTTATCATCTTTGTTGGTTTACTAGTTATAACCTTTTCTTTTGTGGTTGCTTTGGGGTTTACAGTATACATTCTTAGCTTATAACATTCCACTTCCAGGTAGTAGTATTCTGCTTCACAGTTAGTATAAGAATCTTACGAGCAGTGTGCTTTCATTTCCCTCCCCTCACCCTTGATGATACTCTTCTCAGACATTTCACTTTACATATGTTAACCACACAATACACTGTTATTATTTTTGCTTTAAATGTCTATTAGCCTTTAATGAAAATTTAAAATAAGGAAAAAAAGCCTTACATTTGTACACATATTTACCATTTTTATTGCTCTTTATTCCTTTGCACAGAAGATTTCTATCCAGTACCTTTAACATTTCCTGTAGGGCAAAAGGCTTCTTGTGATAAATTCTTTCAGCCTTTCTAGGTTTGAAAAAGTTTTATTTCATTTTCAAAAGGTATTCTCACTAGGTACAGAATCTAAGTTGAGTTTTTTATTTTCAAAAATTCAGTATTTGAAAATTATTTCAAATATTTTGGGTCTTTTTAAAATTCAGTTGTATAAATCCAATCTCTATTATGCTACCTTGGCCAGAGGCTAAAATTCAATTTCAAGTTTCCCATTTTTACCATTTAAAATTTTTCGTGCTTATTTAGCTTTTAAGTTCCATGACAAAAAAAGATTTCATCTTTATGCATAAAGTTACTAAAATTATTTTATTTATCCAATCTCTTTTAATACACATTATGTGCATTTATAGAAAAAGGCAATAGGAAAATATTAACCGATTTAAATACAGCATGTAGCAAAACACACTTTTATGTCTTCTAAATCTGTTTGATAATGATATATAAGAAAACCTGTTACAAGCCATAATGCTTTTATAACCTGTCAGGAAAAAAGATTATAGAAGCACTCCTAAAGCTTTAATACAAATGTATTCTCTGAGCCGCACTAGGACAAAGTAATCTGCTTTTATTTCTTGAAGTAATTATTAGTATGTTTACACTTATTTAATATACCCTTAAAATCTCTCAGCACTTAGGGGAAAAAAGTTAGTAAGCTAGCTACATTTCTTCTTTTTTTTTTAATAGAGTTCTTTTAGTAAATACTTTCATCTCAGAAGTCAAAATTGGGCAGGAGTGCTATATACAAGGTACATAGTTTAAATCTTTGGGACAAAAGACTATAAGAAGGTAAACAAGCCAGTGGCCCCCCTAATCTTCTATCACTAAAAATGTAGATCAGAGCAGGCAGATGTACACATCTACATATTATCAAAGAGGTGTAAATTCTTTTGACAATTAACCTTCCTGTTGTGTTTTTTTTAATTTTATTTATTTTATAGTAAGGTCAATAGTATAAAATATTACACACAACACACAAAGAATTAGAGAAACTTAATGATATAAACCACAAAACAAAATAAACCACACATCATTTGGGAGAAAAAAAATGGCACTAATACTGTAATATTTAGTATGTAATATGAAATTTTCACTGTTTATAAGTTGAATTATATTGATTGAAACTTTATAGTATAATTTTGTATGTTATTAATTCATGAGATAATCAGCAGATATGCAGTTCTGGTTGAGTCTTATAAACCCTTAAAAGTTTTCATAAAGTGAAATTAGCTAAAAAACACTGACCAGGAGTAGAGATTTGTTAGAAGTATAATACAGTAACATAAATGCAATAGATATAATGTAATCTGTGCAATTCGAAATTCTGAAAATTTTCTTATCAAATGTACAATAAATAATAGTCATACTTGACTTCATCAAGTTAACAAAATAATTATTAATCAACCTTGTGTTTTATTAGTCAACTGCTTAGAAACCCAAAACACCAATTAAAATTACTTTCTCCATAAAAATAGAAGGTATCTCAAACTCTTTAATCATCAAACATCCAAAAAAATTTGGAAGGCAACTGTCAACCAAAAATATTATGTTTAAAAGAGGTTATTAAAAAACATACATAATCTATTTTTTTTCTGCACAATTTTCTTTTCTTATGAAAAAGGGCACTTAGTGTATAGCTAAAGCTTTCAGAAAATAAAGATTCTGTTGGCTTTCCTCTTAGGCAGATGACACAGTGTACAGTTTTTAATATAAAAATATAAATATTTTTGACAGAAAAGATGAAATAGTGGTTGGTATACAATCCCATCACCCTTTTACTTGAAAAAAAATTTTCCCAGAGGCCATGAAAACAATACTGAATCTATATAGCTCTGTGTTGCCAGAAGCTTCCCAAATTACAAAACATTAAAGTATTCACTGAAATTTCAAAAGTGTGCCCGTAGTCTTTTGTTTTCTTCTCGTAGTCTTTCAATTTCTGCCACTAAACCTTCATTCACTGAGTATCTTTCCAACAAAGAGTGCATTTCATTCTAGAAAAGGGGGAAAAAAAGCTTTTAAAATTATTGCCATCTCATTTATTTGGCAAGCCCTTTTACATATTTTCAGCTATCATTTTTCTCAGGTTCGATTAACTAACTGATTTTTTTTTTTAACTTAACCACCCTTACTACTTTGTTAATATAACTGAAAGAGCACTGGTGAAATTTATATATTTGGAAACCTTATATTTGCACATTTCGGAAGCTTTTTGCTTACTTACTGCAAAAAAAAAGCTATGAAAAAGTAGCTATCATACTTTTTTATCATACTATCGTATCATATCTTTGTAACTATCACAGGTTACAAAGAAGAGTGACTAGTTAAAATCTATTTTACTTATTAAATTTCTAAAACTCCCTGTTTATTTCTTAGCAATTAGATATAACTAAGTAAAAATACATCACCCCTTTATGGACTTTTTAGATCCACAGCTATGCTCACTTACAATAAAATATGTCAATACATACCAATTGCATATGAAACTGTTTAATCATCTCCACTTGCAAATTCACAATATCCTTATGGCATGCTTCTCTAGGGAAGAATGTAAAATATTTATTAGAATTATAACAATTTTACCAGCTCTAGATCATTCAAGAAAATGGCTAAACTCTTATCGTTTCACGTTACTGTTAATAATTATTATTACAATAGTAAAAATACCACTGCACCTAGTATTTATTTACTCTGTGCTAGGCACTGTTTCTTGTACTTCAGATGTAAGAATTCATTTAATCTTCACAACTAGGTGCAATTATTACCTCCATTTTACCAATGAAGTAACTGAGTCACAGAGTAGTTATAACTTATCCAATGTCACACAACTAGTAAATGGTGGAGTAGGATATAACCCCAGGCTGTCTACCTCCAGAACTCTCATTATACTACATTCCTTAATACAGAAATTATCATTAAGGAAAGACACAGGTTTATATTACAATGAAATACAGATAATGCTCTAGGTTATAATGCTTTAACTATTATCAATGTTTAAGCTATCAAAAAAAAGAAAAAAAAAACTTCCAGCAGAATGAAAAGAGCCTATTTGGGTGTAACAGAGGTTACTCAATAAAATGCAATTAATTCATGCCTACAAAAGCCATAAAAGTGGGAATTCCCTGGCATCCCAGTGGTTAGGACTCAGCACTTTCACTGCCGTGGCCCAGGTTCAATCCCTGGTCAGGGAACTAAGATCCTGCAAGCCACACGGTGCAGCCAAAGAAAAAGACATAAAAGTTATGAAGTATAACAATAAAAGGAACATTCAGCCACCTGCCACACAACTTATGGGCTAGAACATTACCAAAATCATAGAAGCTTCCTGTGTGCTCCTCTCTGACTCCAACATTTACCTCTTGGGAGAAGCCTAAGAAAGAAGTCACTACGCTGCTGAATTTTGTTTGAGCAAAGAAATGTTTTAAAAAGAAATATATATATATATATATATATATATATATATATATATGTATGTATGTATGTTTGTATGTATAACACAGAATCTGTAGTCAGTCTATTTTCGTTGTGCTTGCTTTTGAGCATTACAAAAAGGGTACCATATCCTATGTAGGCTTGAGTAGTGGACATTTAAAAAATAATCCAGTATCATGTTTTCAAGTTTCATATTCTACATATCTGTAATTCACTGATTTATATTAGTGTATACATTCTCCTGTCAATTTGAATTGTTTTCAAGTGTTTATTATTACAATGTTGTTATAAACAATCATGTATATGTCTTCCAACCCACATGTGCCAATTTCTGTAGATGATATATCCAGAGTAGATATGTTGAGTTATAGGTATGATCCAGAGGTACACTGCTCAGACTTACAAAATAACAGAAATTATTTTCCAAAGTGGTAGTATCAATGGACACACTCATCATCAGTATAACAGAGCTCATCTAGCTTTACATCCATACGAAGACTTGGTGTTACCAAGCTTTTTACAATATTTTCCCATCTACTGGGTGTGAAATGGTATCCCATTGCATTTTCAGTTGTCTGATTAATTTGTAGGGCTGAGCATCTTTCCTTATGTTCATATGCCATTCCTCTTCTGTGAAATGCTTGCCTATGTCTTTAAACTATTTTTCTACTGAATGTCTTTTTTAAAAAAATTATAAGAGGTCTTTACATAATCTGATCCTTTATTGGTTATATGAGTACTGCAGATACCTTTTGTCTTTTCATTTTATTAATAGTGTCCTGGGATAAACAATTCCTATTAATATTCTCAAATTTACTAACCTAATATTAATGCAAATTTATCAATCTATTTTTATAGGTAGTGTACCCTCTTATTTTTAAGTAACTTCTCAAACCCTGAAGTCATATATTGATATAAATTCTCTTACAATGCCTAAAATGTTTCCATTTACATTTAAACTTTTACCCTGTACGGAACTGATTTTTTAAATAGCATGCAACAGGGATATATACATTTCCTCTGTCATATATCACATTTCCATATATACATAGGCATTTTTTGGGGGGACTGCCTATTTGATCCCTTTGGGCAATTTGTCCACCCTGTGTTAATGATACACTTTTCTTTTTTTTGTGGTACGCGGGCCTCTCACTGTTGTGGCCTCTCCCGTTGTGGAGCACAGGCTCCAGACGCGCAGGCTCAGCGGCCATGGCTCACGGGCCCAGCCACTCCACGGCATGTGGGATCTTCCCGGACCGGGGCACGAACCTGTGTCCCCTGCATTGGCAGGCAGACTCTCAACCACTGCGCCACCAGGGAAGCCCAATGATACACTATTTTAATGATAGCCTATCTATCTGACAAACTAGTCCCCTTCAACCTTATTCTTCTCCAGTGTCTTGGTTATTTCATATCTTCCTTCTTTCATATACATTTTGGAATTATCTCATCATCTTCTTCCAAAAAACCCAGTTGGGATTTGATTGGAATTGCATTCAATCTATAGACCAAGTTAGAAGAACTGACAGCTTCATAATATCTTCCCATTTAAGTGTTAATGCTTTCTAATAATTTTTTTTTAATGTTTTTCCACACACAGATCTTTACCATCTTTGGTTAGATTTATTCCTAAGTACCTTATTTCTTCTGTTGCAACTAAAAGATATTTAAAAAAAATTTGTTTCTCTTCTGCTTTGAGTTATGACAAGAGCTGTATTAAAAAACAAACACAAACAAACAACAACAACAAAAAGTGAAGGCACCGTAGAACCACTAAAGTAGCCAGGATTGGAGGGACCATGGTCTTGTAAAGAAGGCGAGTCTACTAGGTAACCTCCACATTTACCTCTGCTTTTCCCTCTGCGGGATGTGCTGATTCCATATTATGAGAAAAAGAGGCTGAGATGAGAGCAGTGGCCTGGAGTTTGAAACAGTCTCACTTGGTTGGGGAGTATTAGAATTCAGAACTCCCAAGGCAGCCAGCACTGCAAGGTCCAAGATTCTGGAAAGGGGGTACCTGTAGAAAGTAAACCTGAATCTGTGCAATTTCCCCTCAAGACATCTTTGACTCCTAAGCAATGCCTGTACTGAGTTAGATGGCAGGAAAACAAACATAAAGTGGCAGCTAGGGCTTCCCTGGTGGCGCAGTGGTTGAGAGTCCGCCTGCCGATGCAGGGGACATGGGTTCGTGCCCCGGTCCGGGAAGATCCCACATGCCGCGCAGCAGCTAGGCCCGTGAGCCATGGCCGCTGAGCCTGCGCGTCCGGAGCCTGTGCTCCGCAACGGGAGAGGCCACAACAGTGAGAGGCCCGCGTACTGCAAAAAAAAAAAAAAAAAAAAAAAAGGCAGCTAGAGAGAAGAAAAGGATTTTGAGAGCCCTGTGATGAAGAATTGGAGGTTTAAGTTCGGGACCCACCAAGATAAAAAGGCCTGGTGAATACTCCAGACATTCAGCTCACATCTTAAAAGGGCACAGACTAAACCCTAGGAATAAAGGCAAACCAGAAATAAAATAGCCCTAAGAAAACCTAAAACCCAGAAAATGATCTGCTTGCAAGAAACTTAAATCTTCTTTAAAGACAACAGAAATAAACCCACAGACTTCTGCTTAGGATGTTAGCTCCCCAGCCCTAATAATGAGAACAAGCCAGGTAACGTATAAAATCATACATTTTAAATAAATTCAACTTTGAGAGTGCAAAGAAATCTAAATGAACTAAAATCCAGAAAATGGTGAGTCCCTCCAGAAGAAGAAAGACCCACAGTTGTTTTCATCCTAGACAGGGCAGCAGGGGAAAAAAGCTGCCACTGATAGGCTAAAGAGAACTAGCTGAAATTTTTATAGATTTTTAAAGGTCAAGTGAAGACTGTCAAGGCAGTTTAGAATCCCAAGGAGTCCCAGCCGAAAATAAAGTCTCCATTCCCTCCACAACTTTTTGCCACAGGACTTCACTGAGTGCTCACGTAAAAATTAGGGGCAGAGCAGGAGGGCTGAGAGAGACAGCCCCTAGGGCACAGATGCACAGAGCCTGGTGAAGACTTAGGGCAGGGGAGGAGAACTGACAGTAACCCCTCTGAAGCACTCCAGGCCCTCACAGAGAAGTCAGCCCCAGAGCTGAGGGAGAATGGCTAGCAGAGAGCCTCTCAATAGCCCACTCTGTCCCTCCGTTGTAAGGTACAGCTGGCAACACCTACTGGAGGCTGAAGTCAGAGCAGGCGAATTTGCAGAAATCCTCTGAGCCATTCTGGGTCCTCTAAGCAGAGGCTGCCTATGGCTGACAGAGGGGCAGAAGAGCAGAGAGAGGCCCCTACCCACCCTCAATCCCCAGGTACAGGCACACAAGGCATGATTTCTTTCTAAATTTGCCCCAGAAGAACTTCTCCCTTTCTGTGTTTTCAACATTGCTTTATTCACATTATATTACAGCTGTAAACAGACAATTCTGCCATTTTGCCCTATATATGCATTCCTGAAATATCTCATATATTTTAAAAAACTGTTTATGGAAAAATAATAGGACCAGATTTTTTTAAACGTGGTATGTACATATAACGGAGTATTATTCAGCCTTAAAAAAGAAAGAAATCTTGACATGTGACGTGGATGAACCTGGAGGGCATAATGCTAAGTGAAATAAGCCAGACACAGAAGCACAAATACTGCATGATCCCATTTATATGAGATATCTAAAAGAGTCAAACTCATGGAAGCAAAGAACAGAATTGTGGGTGTCAGGGGCTGGGGAGAAGGGAAAATCAACGAGTATAAAATTTCAATACACAAAGTAAGTTCCAGAGGACTGCTGTTACAATAGTGTGTCTACAGTTAACAATACCGCATATTGCACGCTTGAAAATCCAAGAGGGTATCTCATGGTAAGATTCTTACCACAGTAACACTGAAGAAGCAAAAAAAAAGAAAGAAAGTAACAGGATTTAAGGAGAAAGGACTTGGGCAGACCACTCAAAACCTATATAATCTTTGTAACCTGAGCACTAACACAAACAATTAAATCCTAATAAAAATACTAGCATAGTTTAAATATTGAATAATCAAAGATTTTACCTTAAAAAAAAGTGAGGGTCATTTGGTAAAAGGGGAAAGAAGATAGAAGGATTGGGGCTGTCAAGCATGGAGGCAAGGATAAAATGCCCAAAGATGGGGAAAAAATCACAAAATAAGCACTTCCTAACACAAAGCACATAGCCAAGCCAAATTAAGAGGAAGGGAATAGGAGGAGATGGACATGGATAGGTGATTTGCTGCCTTTACCTGTGTTCATGTACTTTGTTTTGGTGGCTGTTACATGAACCACCAAAATTTCCTTATCATGTTGTCATTACTGCCCTATTTACAAATGAGTTAATTAACATCAAAGAAACACACATCAGAGCAGCCCGCACTATGTCTACCCTAATTAAACTATAATGCTTTTGTGGGCAGATCATCCGTTTTTGTATCCTTAGTATCAGTACATACTAGGCACATTATAAATGTCAAAATGATTATTTTTCTTTAAAAATATATTTGTTAACATCTAAAAATTTTTTTCAAAACATTTTTAACATTAAAAAGAAACATGCACCAACAAAAACTGCACATCTTCTCCAACAGTCTTGCCCATGGTATTCCAAATCTGAGCAAGAGTACTAAGTAACTAAAGGTCAGAAAAGGAAGAAAAATGCAAAAGATTCTAATAATTGAAAATAGCTTTCAAAATATATTGAGACAACAGGTAAAAGGAACCAGCATTCTAGAACATTCTTACAATGTTCAAAATTCAAAGAATGAGAGACAAGGACAGGTCCAGGCAAGAACTTTTTAAAATTAAGTATTACATTCTGATGCATTCTACTTGAAAATATTCAGAATTCCTTTAAAAAATATCTTTACTACATTACTGCACATAGCATACTTAACAGGTGATCTATAAATATTGTAAGAATCCCATTTGAGCTTACCAGAATCTGTCCATAGTTTGATGATGAAAAAGATCCACAATGGCAGCCAGCCTGCTACACCATCCTGCCAAGTTATCTAATAACTGCCCTAGGGAAATGTGCCTTTTCCTAGCTGATACAAAATAAACTCAACACTTCAAGATCAACAAAACTCATATCTTCTATGGGTTTATGGACCCCAGAACTTAGGCAAAAGTAGTAACCACAAACATTACTCATAGTTACAGTTTTACACCTAATAAAAAAAGCTAGTCAAGGTCTAGATAATTTCTCAATTACCTAAAGTCATCCAATGTTTCCTGTATCATGTTCTGAATAAAACGGATTTGAACAGATGTCAATGGTGCATTTGGCCGATTATTTCCAATGGTATCAGCTATTTTTTCTGATAGTGAACTGGCAACTCCAGCAGTGACAGAAGATGCTATCTTTGGATCTAAAATTAAAAATGGACAAAATATTAATAGTCAACTTGGACTAAGAGACATCAAACACTTCTAAATATGATTTGGCAAGAGAAAACTTGAAAAACTGGTAAGAAACAGTGATCTTGTGACATTCAGAAAAATTCACTGTCTGGAATACAAATCTTAGAAACTTTCAATGACATTATTTCTAATGAGTCATTTATCTCTCTCTCTATCTATCAATCTATCTATCTACCTACCTACCTACCTACCTAAACTGCCAAGTGTCTAATGTAATAACATACGACAGAGGAATTAATCCTGAAGAATCTCTGAATCATTTTCTCTTACAAAAGATGAATGTGACAAGCCACACCACAAACTAGATAAACCAAGCCTATGAGAAACAAACAGAAGGAACAGAGGAGTAAAGTAGTTCTACAGGCAAGGCCCTAGAGTTTAAGCTAATGCAATATATCCACAGAAATCTTAAAATATAGGTATCTATATAAAAGAGCTACTACTATACAAAGAGTTTTTTGTATAGGTAACTCTTATCGCTGAACCTAATATCACTTTAAATGTGATGGAGTTTTTAGGGTCTCTGCCATGAACTCTATAGATAGAACTTTAATATGGAAAAAAAAAGACAATTTCAGGTACTTAATGACCCATTTTCAAAGGGTCCTATATTCCTATCTGTACCACAGTAGATCAAGACACTTACATATTGGATTGAAAACGAAATTCACACCCAAAGAGTACCAAATCAATGTGGGTGAATTTAACATTTCATACCCATTTCATCGTCTTCTAGTAAGAGAGTCACACACTAGAGAAGTGTCATAAATTTTAAATTCCTTGAACTTTTTTGTCTATGATCACTCTCTTAACTTATCCTTTTCAAGTTAAATACTGGGAGTTTTCAACTTAGCACTCAAACATCAGGAAGTTTTATGTACTTACTTGGAGTTGAGGATCCATTGACTGGAAGTTCATATATAAACTGGCCTTCAATTTCTTTTTCTGGCTTTTCAAATTTCTCAGGACTTCTTGTTTGGTTGGATGATGGAGAGGTATTTAGATTTCCAGTTTCAGCACCAGAGATCAACTTTGCAAACTTCACATTTAAAATAAACAATTAATATATAAATTCTGGTTTTATCCATATTATCCATATAATTTGTATCTACTTTTCTCTTTTTTCCAGTAAGTACGGTCAGAAAAAGGAAGAATAGAAAGGTATCTTGAAGGAGAAAAAAATGTTGCTAGGGCCAGTGGCAAAATAAATCAACTTTACTAATCAAAAACAATTTCAATGATAACATGATAAGCAAAAGCTCATTTACTAAGAATCTGCAGTTGAATATCATTTAAAATGGCAATCACAGGCCAAAAAACTAAATAAATAAATCCCCAAACTCTCATGTGATAACTGGTCAGAAATATTTCAAAAATAAGTCAAAAGACTTTTTTGTACTTCTTAAATGATCTTTTCAATATCATTCTAAAAAATAAAAATGAAAATAAACAGACATACTGCACAATAGACTCTATTAGATTACAGCAGAAGGTAATGATGATGAAATACCTTCTCAGCACCATCAATTTGCTCTAAGACTTAGAGTAAAAGACTTGACAACCAACTTGGTGCTTTGTGCTACAATGGAAATACATTCTAAAAGAAGTCAGGTATAAAATATTCTTACACAGACAGTTAAATCAAGTATCTTGTCTTAGGAAACAAACAGTGTAAGATTACACCTGCTGTTACCTCCAACATATCCAAAGACAGATTTCAAAAGTAATCTTCAGTTTTTAACATGTGACATCAAGATTTAAGAATATTTTCTACCTAGTAAGTGCACAGCACTGTCAATAATTAGGACATATCCAGTGGCAGCTGCCTGCTTTCTAGTGATGAGATGCATTATACTTGCTAGTGATAAACACACACAGTGAGTTCAATATCATTTATAGGCAGATACCTGCTTGAAGGAGTCTTTAGGTTCCTGTTTTCCCAGATACATTTTCTTAGATTCAGCTGTCAGATCATGATTTTCATTTTCTTCTTTCCCTGGAGACCCCATAAAGACATTAAGAGGACTAGAATGCAACATTGAAGTGCTTGAAGCTACTGGATTTTTTCTTGGAGGAAACACTGAGTTCAACTGTGGTAGAAAGTCAAGGCCTGAAAAAGAGGAGAAAAAAACTAGCCCTTATATGGGATGTTCCCCAATCTTGGATATTTAAGAAAAGCACTTAACACAATAGACATGTTAATACGGTAGAAAGACATGGGATTTCGATTCAGAAGACAGGTTCACTTATCAGCTCTACCCCTTATTTCATTTGAGTTTTTGGGTAAAAGTCGTAAAACTCTCTGTGACTGTTAAGTGATCTGTAAATGTGAATGATGATATCCACCTCCCTGAGTGGTGAGGCTTAAAAGAGATATTGTATGTGAAGATACATTGAAAACTGCAAAATACAATGAATGTTTTAGTAAATAAAAGTTTTTGACAAAATTGTTAATTTGGTATATGTCTGTGGTATATCTTGGTAGGTAGCCTCTAAGATGGTTCCTCATGATCTCGGCCTCCTGCCAAGGATCCATGGCCTCGTGTAATCACCTCCCTTGGAATGTGGGTTGGACCTAGGAACTTGCTTCTAACAAAGAGTATACAGAAGAGTGGCAGATCTCACTTCCAAGATTAAGTTACAAACACACTGTGGCTTCCATCTTGAGTGCCCTCTCACTTTCTCACACCAGCCCTGAGAGAAGCCAGCTGCCGTGTTGTCAGCTGCCCTGTGGAGAGGCCCACATAGGCAGGAACTGATATCTTCGGCCAATAGCCACATGAATGAGTTTGGAAGCAGATCCTTGCCCAGTCAAGCCTTGAGATGACTGCAGCCCTGCTGATACCCTAATTAAAACATCATGAGACATCCGAAGCCAAAGGTACCCAACTAAGCCACGCTTGGATTCTTCACCCACAATTATGAGATGGTAAGTGTTCTTTTAAGCTTCAAAATATTGGGGTAATTTGTTTGTTACACAGCAGTAGATAACACAAAATCACTTTTAACTTTGATAAAAATACTTCTCAACAGTTCTTACCATCTCCTTTTCCTACGGACTCATCACTTCCTTTGTTAACTACAGCATCTATAATAAAATTAGAAAATAAAATTTAAAAAATAGTGAAAAAGAAGCCATAGCAATTTAGGCTTCCTATTCGTTCCCCAAAGAGTTCAGGGACTAACAGTTTTAAGAAGAAAAATCTGAGTGAAGGTAAAGCTAGTATTCATATAAACTTCCCTTTTCATTCTTTTAGCTTCATGCATAGCAGCAAAGATAATTCTATGTATAGAGTCATTTAATGAGACAGCAAGGTATACCAGAAAAAGCACTGGAGTAGGCTCCAGAGACCTGTAATCCAGTTCTGCTTATACCACTGAATAGCTCTGTCACCTTGGACAAGACTTGGGTATAATTATGCTTCAGTTTCTGTACCTATATAATGGGGACAATGCCCCGACCATCTCACAAGACTGTCTTGAGGATCAATTGAAATAATGTAAAAATATTTTGTAAGCAACACAATGTTATTAAAAATATAAGGCTTCATTAAAATTTTTTCAATGGTAGAACATGTTTAAGAATATTTCAATATTGTAATATTATTCATTTACCAAATAACAACCAAAAATTGCTAACTCCATTTTAACAGATTAATAGAAAAATGGGCAAAGGTCATTAAAAAATTCACCAGAAATTCACATGGCCAATAAATTATCATACATGATTATCATATTAGTAGGACTATCATCCATCTCTCCACCATTCATCTATCTGCATGTGTGTGTTATACCTAGTAATCGCACAACACAGACACTTTTATATAAGTTACTCATTTTTTCCTAACAAAAGCAGAGGTACTCTTATTTAAAAGATGAAGAAATTGAAGCACAAACAGATTAAGACTTTACCTAAGTAGTGTTGAATCTTTGAGATTAAAACACAAATCTCTTGACAGTGAAAACCAGCACTATATTTAGTATCCATGTCTTTTTCTTATCAATGATATCAAACTCCAATAAACGAAGGGCCTATGGCTCAAATTCTAATCATATCTTTTTAAACAGCAAAAGCAATTAAAAAGGAATTTATATCCTTTATTACTTTCAAAAACCATTAAAAAGGATTTCATTTATAACTCAAACACTTTCAAAAAGCCCCTTCAATTAAAAAATTACTCCAGCGGTTCTCATAAACAAAGCTCCACAATTGGGTGCTAACCTCCAAAACCTTTCTCAACTCCAGCCCAAGCCACTTTTACCTCCTTTGCCCACATCTCTCCTCTCTTTACCCCTCAACTAGGTAGTATGACCTCTCTTCATCCTGAAAGGAATCCTTCCTCTTTTATTAGATGGAAGATAGCAATTTGACCGGGCAATTTAAGGAGTCATTTTCAAGCTGGGGTAAGGCAGAAGACACTCAATAATTCTGTACCACTACGTATATATTTATTCTTTCTGCTTATGAAATTAGTTGAAGAAAATTTTGAAACCAGACAATTTTAAAGTAAAAAGTTAAATTTTATAAGATCATGAGTGGATGTAATAATTTAAACACCCTGCTACTGATGACATTTAGATTCACTCCTGTTTTTCAATACTATAAATAAACAGTAAACACACAAATCTCTGTGGGCTTCTCTGAATATTTTCTTAGGTAAATTTATAGAAATGGAATTAACAGGACAAAAAGAATGAATATTTAAGTCTGCCAAATCATCTTCTAGAAATTAACCCATACTGTTAATAATACTGCTATTAGTAGTGATACTATCCCAGTAAAGAAAACAGTATGAACATTAGCACCAAAATAGCACAGCCAAACCACGTGCCTAGTTCATATAGAGTGAACAACGATATATGTTTCTGTTTAACAAACTGGCAAAGGTTTTTTTTTGTTGTTTTTTTTTGGCTTTTTTCTTTTTAATGGCAACGTCTACTAGCAATGGGGAGTGTGTGTGTGTGTGTGTGTGTGTGTGTGTGTGTGAGTGTGTGTATGTGTGTGTATGTGTATGGTACTTTCATATATAGTTAGTGTAAAAGATGAGGCAATCTAACCCCCAGCCATATTTCTCCATGAAAACATTTAATACCAGTTAAATACTAATAAAGAAACAAATTTTTTTATGTTAGGAAGATATTTTTTGCCTATCAAAATATCCAAGATTTGGGGAAGATTTATTTAGAAGTAGATACAAGTAAAAGATTGCCTATGGAGGCAAAACTTCCTTTAAGAAACTTCTGTGGAAATTAAAATGCTAACTTGAGAGCTATTTGCTTGGTTCCCATGTGAAAATTACTAGCATATATTTTGGAATGATAACATTTGAAATATCTGGGCAAAGGGAAAGATACCATCTCAGGGATTGAGAAAATTAGCAACTGTCATGAACAGAGTGAGACTGAAGCTATTATCCACATCTTTTAGCCAGAATAAAAATGTCATGACGACCCAAGCAAGAGGACATGATCCTCTGATCTGAACAGACTTACCATCTCGGATAGGTGAGAACATGTCACCTAAACTACTTTTTCCAGTATCATCAAAGCTGGAGAAATCCTGGGTTTTCCCACTCTCTGTTTCCTTAGATAAAATATCTGTGTTTATGCTTCGAGGCAGACCTTATAGAAATTGGATATAAAAATAAACATTTTTATTATTTCTCATAATAAATTTATCATGAGAAGCTAGGCTCTAAAAATGAATGCCTTACCTATAATATCGGTAACACTACAACTGTGGGCATCAGGAAAGAAAGCAGAATATAACAATAGCTCAGTTAAGCATCCTTTTCATGGAATGAAGGGCTCCTCAAAAGCAAATAACTTATTTGCTCATATAACACCACTTTTTAAATCTACTTTGATAGAACTTTTCTAAATAATTCATGTACTTTTCTTAACTTATTTTTGTTAGTGACTGACTCACTGTTAGGATCATCTACCAGTGATTAAAAAAAAAGTCTCTAAGGCATATAGTACAATGCCTAACATATAGCAGTTTTCAAGCAACGTTAGTTTCTTTCCCCAGCTTGCAGTGAATGGGTCTCTTTTTTCCCCTTTTTATTTTTTTCTTCACTAACAGTGGGAACCTAACACTGCTCTCAGCGTTACTGACCTTAAATGACTTCATTAACCTTGGGATAGTTTACTGAGAGGAAGGAAACCAGAATACCAAACTCATAAAGAATAGTACAGTAGACAACAATAAAGAGGCATGCAGTTTACTTCCTCTCAGTATATATTGCATGACTTTAGGGCAAGGACGTTATAATAGGAACTCTGCAGGCTCAGTAACTTCTTGCTCATTTTTGGGTCAAGGACTGAGTTCTAGAGATTCAAGAACTTTGATGAAATCTTGGCATTTGAATCGGTAGCATATTACTGTCTTACATTTTTAAAACTGTTTTATTTGCCATCTTGGTCCCAAATGAAAACTGAAAAGCCTGGGATAAAAACAAAGATTAGCTTTGTTCACAATATTCAAAAATGTCCAAGCCTGGCTAATGAAATAAACCTAATAACCTCACAAAAGTTATGACCAAACATTTGTACATCACTGTCATTGAAGGGTGTTTATACCAAGAGTGTAATCGGTTATAAAGAAGAAATTTCTCTCCCTTTTCTAGGTCCTCAACATGTTTGATGCATAACTCTAGCCTCTGGAACTTTATGAAATAGAAGCTTGGTATCATTTGAAAATAGTGCTAAAGCCTTATTTTTCTCTTCTTAAATGGCTGTTTCCTACTGAAAATGAGCACTAGCAACAAGTCTGCAGACAGCGGTTCTTTTTTTAAAATATATGTATTTTTTTTTGGCTGTGTTGGGTCTTCAAGGCTGTGCGCGGGCTTTCTCTAGTTGTGGCGAGTGGGGGCTACTCTTCGTTGCGGTGCGCAGGCTGCTCGTTGCAGTGGCTTCTCTTGTTGCGGAGCATGGTCTCTAGGCGCACAGGCTTTAGTAGTTGTGGCATGCAGGCTCAGTAGTTGTGGCTCGCAGGCTCTAGAGCGCAGGCTCAGTAGCTGTGGCACGCCAGCTTAGTTGCTTCGTGACATGTGGGATCTTCCCGAACCAAGGATGGAACCCATGTCCCCTGCATTGGCAGGCAGATTCTTAACCATGGCACCATCAGGGAAGTACCTGCAGAGGTTCTTTTCAATAACTAAATTAGGACACCTTCAGTAGAAACCATACGAACTTATTTCAAATTTTAAATTTATTTTACACCATGCTTAAAGTAATAGCAATAAGGATGATCATAACGACAATATTAGCAACACTATAATTTATTGAGTGCCTACATGTGCTATGCCCTTTTGATACATTTTCTCCGATTTTCACAATAACCTCAAATGTTAAATATTATCTATGGAAGAGAAAAATGAGAAAAAAGCATGGTTAAGAAAACTGCCTACTAATAAGAACCTGCTGTATAGCACAGGGAACTCCACTTCGCTGTACAGCAGAAACTAGCACAACATTGTAAAACAACTATACCCCAATAAAAAATATATATATAAAAAAGAAAACTGCCTAAAGTCATCCAGGCAGGAAAGTGATAGATCTGAGACTGAAGTCTAACATACTCTCAATGTTTCACAGGGGGAAAAATGTACATGTGTGTGAGTTGAGAGAGAGAAAATGATGCAGCAAATGTGGTAAAATTTATAAAATGGTGAACCTGCTCAAGGATATACTAGAACTCAAGAGTTCTTTGTATTATTACTGAAACTTTTCTGTAAGTTTGCAATTATTTCCAAATAAAATCAATAAACCGAAATTTCTCCTTGTGGGTGCACAGTAAGCACGCATTTTGCCAGAAACTGCTAATCAGCCAAGAATTATCATTAACTGGTGGCCCTGCAGACCCAAGTCTTCCACATCTAATTAATGCTGCCATTGTTACACATAAACTTCCTTATTAAAAACTAAATGACAGACACTGAGACTTCAGAAAGTTTACAATAAATGAGAGAATCTTTATTTTAATTTTTGAAAATTATGAATAAAATAAATAGTAATTTTTTAAACTAACACCAATTTTCATAACATAGTTAATTCAACATCTTGGCAAACATTATTTCTTCTTTTAAACAGATAGCAATAGTATTAGTTTCTAGGAGTTCTTAAATAAGGACCTTATTATTTTTCTACATAATATATAATGATTTTTATGTAAGGATGATATAGATATTCAAAGATAATTTATAGTGAATATACTTATTATATTTTTAAAAAAATTCTACACTACCAAGACTAACAAATTAAAGTTTTGCTTATACTTGGGAATAGTAAACTCATATTGAAAAAGCACCAACAAATATTTGTGCTCAATTTAAGTACTTGTCCTGAAAATTCAAAAAGACATGAGTACATTCATTTCTGGTAAGAATACTTTAGAGACATACTGGTATATCATGTAGACTTTTAAAAATATGTTGAAAGTGACAGTATAGCATAACTTCTTAAAATAAAAACAAAAAGGCTTTCAGGAATTTAGGGAATTACGATCTTTATTGTAGGCAAAGAATATCTTCTACAGTAAGTATGGGGAAGCTTATCACCATATTATACCTTCACAAAGTCTAAATGAACTCTTCTTTAAGAACTGTTTCATCAATACGATTATCAGAGTAGAAGAAATTCCTTAAAAATTTCAACATTTTCATTTATTTTTATTTAACAAATGACTAATTTACGGCTTAATATGTGCCAGGTACTATTCAGTACTTAAATATATTCATTTCATCACCTGACTTACTTTCCAGTCTGAAAATTGAAGTATAGGGGCCATTAATAGCTTTTTCTTTTAAACTGAGATCAAATCATAATGAAAGCATCAAAGTTTCATATTATCTACTGATTAATCTAAAAGCACAATGAAAAGTCATCTAGTCTGTAGCGGTACTTCTGAGAGGGCATTATTCTGTTTTTAAAATATCTTACAACGGAAGTTCAGCTAAACAGAGTAAGTGAAGTACCTTTCATTAACCTTTTAAACATTTATAGCTAAAGTTAAATTTTTCACTTTTTCAATTTTCACTATCTACTAATAATTTTACCTAAATACTCAAGTGAATTTAAGTTCTAGGTTCTTAAAGAAAGTGATAATGATATCCATTTGGGGAGGAGACAGGATGGGAACTCCAAATACTATATATAAACAACATTTACCTGCTTTGTCTTGAAGAGCAACTGTTCCTTTCCCCACAACTGCTGTCGTGGCCTGTGGCAGAACTGTGGCAATGGAAGTGGTAGCTGCTTCTCTGACAACTCCAGAATTCTGGACTCCTCCACTAGCAGTGCTCACGTTAACAGTACGTTTGTTCACAGCTGTGGGCTTATTTGAACAGCCTTTATTTAAACCTGACTGAAACGGAAGGGAATATTTAAAAGATCAGGTTTCTAATGCTCCACACGAGACATTAATATTTCATAAATTCCCTATTAGTTTAAAAAATATTGTTTTTCCCTTAGAAATCTTAAGCTTGCTGGTGGATGTGAGAGTTTCCCTCTGAACCATAAAAACCTTTTAATATTTTTGAAGAGAGAGAAATGTGAAAAGCGCAAAAAAAGTTTTAAAAGTAAGTATCAAATGGATTTGTACTAAAATTATTTACAATGCTTTGATATAAAAATTATTATGAAGCAAAACTACACTGTGTTTAATTGACAACATATGATTTCTATATTCTGAACTAGATTTATTTAGTAAAATCAAAAATGCTGAAAACAAAGAAAATATCTTACCTTAGAAAGGACAGTGGAGTACTGAAATGCTATACATTGCACAGATGTCTTATGTGCACTGATGGTTTTAACTGGTGATTTCAACATCCTTAAATCATATTGATATATTTTCCCACGGGAAGCTCCAATAGCCAAAGTGGCTCCATCAGGCATGAAATCTACTGCAGTTAGAGGAGCGTCAGCCACTAAAGTTTTCACTAGCCTTTGGAAAGGAGAGCAAAGTATATGTAGATATGTGAATGTATATATATAAGCTTATACGACATATAAACAACTGTAAACCAAAACCAAAGTTACTTAGATTTCGGCACAGTTACTTGGAATACCCATCTCAAATGTTTGTTTAAAGCAGAAATGCAGAATTAGACCTGGAGACATTTCTACTACAATGGCATGTAAAGGAACTGCTAAGCACTCCATCCTATTTTTCTATTCACTTCCAATAGATACAATACATTCTACATCTTCTAGAAACAGGACCTATTTCTTTGAGTAATTATTATTTTGGCAGTGAACGTGATAGAATTCCTGCATGTTACTCCACAAATAAGGGCTCTATAGCCTCAGGGTTAAGGAGGCTCCAAGTATCCCCTTTCCATTTAGTGACCTGCTTAGGCCTCAAGAGGATTATGACCTTTGACAAGGAAGCAGCTGCTACTTTGCTCTTGGTTATGCATCTCTTGACCCAAAAGCTAAAAGGATTCATGAGGTTTAATCCCCCCAGAAGCTAATACAGAAGTATGGATACTGATCTGCTGAAGCTGAACTCCTTGCTGGAGTGTCAGGTATACGAGAGGAATGGTTTACTGTTAGGGTTCTCAGTAAATTAGTTCAAAAAAGAAAAGAATTAAAAAAAAAAAAAAAGAAGAGTAAAATAAGTAACAGTAAACTTTAAAAAGGGGCTCACAGTAGGTCCTTCCCTAGCAGTAATATTATAATAATGCCACTTCCTTTCACATGATCATTAGATATTGTTAGGTGTCTTGAATACACCTCTTGCAGTCTTGCAGGTTTTTTTTGTTTTTTAAGCTAACCAAGCACACTTATAACTGTAAGAAGAACAAGAAGGCATAACAGACCTAGATACTTAGAGAATTATGTACCCTTTAGCTCTATATCAGTGGTTCTCAACTGGGGGTAATTTTACTACTTTTAATTTGGGGAGTACTACTGACATCTAGTAAGTAGAGGCCAGGGATGCTGCTGAATATCCTACAATGCTCAGGACAGCTCCCCACAACCAAGAATTATCCAGCCCAAAATGTCAACAGTTTAGAAACCCTGCTCTAGGTAATGAATTAATTTTAAAGCAAATTAATCATATTGCTTTAAAAATACACAAATTTAGTTGTATTCTGCAAAAGAGTAATATGCATGCATGCTAAAATAAAGATGTGAAATCATTAACATGCTACCCCTCAACACTCATCATCCAGAAGTACTCTAAAGCAGGGGTTCCCAACCCCCAGGCCACGGATGGGTTCGGGTCCGCGGCCCGCGCTGCACACAGTAGGAAGTGAGCGGACTGAGGGCGAGCGAGCAAAGCTTCATCTGCTGCTCTGCACTCGCATTACGGCCTAAGCCATCCCCCCACCCCACCCCGTCCACAAAACCGGTCCCTGGTGCCAAGAAGGTTGGGGACTGCTGCTCTAAAGAACACCCACATCTCATCTAGTTTTTTCTGCATGGGAAAAAAAAGAAAATTCTACCTTATTAGATAACAAATACACAAACTTTACATCTTCTAACATTAATCAGAGGTCTATACAAATCACAAATATGGCGGCTAATGAAAGAATTATTTGTTACTAAATTAAGAAATGAGCACGTTATACTTACTTCTTACTTGAAGTGTCATAGAGAATGATTCTTTTATCCAAGCCTATAGTTACAAATAGCAATTCATTGACAGGAGAAAAACAGATGCCTGAACCTGGAGCTTTATGTGTACTGTCAAAGTTATGGTATGGACTCTGACTATTCACATCCCAGAGAGTTACTATTCCATTATCCGAAACACTGCCCAGTAGCGACTTCTTAAACAAGGAATACTTCAAGTGCCGAACAGACTATGAAAATAAAAATAAATTTTACGGAATTGTAAGCATACATAAGAACATTTTATATAAAGTATAAATATGGCCAACCACATTATTCACAAGGGATTTAGAACTTCTCTGGTTGATCGCATAACAGGTTTCAATCGTGACAACCATAAAATCATTTAGTGGGCTATAAGATGACCCTAAGACATCTTAATTCTAGTAACTGAATATTTGTCATGATTTTATTATGTTGGAGTAGAGTTACCTCAGTCACCTCTTTTTCAGAAGAAAAATACAATATATTGAGGTAAACTACATTAATTCATCAGGATTAGAACATTCCACCTAAATAAAAGGCCCAGTCACAGTCAAATCATGAATAAGTATAAGGGAACGCTGGTAGAGAATAAGCAATAATATTTTGCATTTGTTTTCAGTATATATTTTTGATATCTGGATATGCTTGAAACTGATGTGCTGGCAATTCAACACTTGAAGCACAATAAAAAATTAACTAAAACAGAAAGGGGAATTGGCAACACTCTAGACTGGGGATGGACTATATACCCATTCTTTCAAAAGCTTTGGCCTGAGGGCAACGCTCCCTTTCTCTAAAACACTCATCTCTAGAGGCAGTGGAGACATTCTTTCTAGTTTCTGCTGGACAAGAATATACAAAGATCCAGTTTGAGTAAACAGGTCTTAGATTAAAACTGGATGAATTTTATCTACTTTTACTAAAATGTTGCTTTCAAACTTGACTGATATTATCATTTATCGTGCTGAGAATTAAGTATTTTACATTTAAGCTATTTTCCCCCCACACAGAAATAGCAATGTAAGTATAGAAATGAATATTAAGTAGAATCCACAAGAGTGGGAAACTAGCTATAAGACACCTTCAAACAGTTTAGTTATAGTCCGGAGTCAAGCAATGAATCATGTTCTAGATGGCAGGTATCAACTACACATATAGGTCCCAGATAAAACTGCCACAGAACAAAAGTCAAACCTGAGGGCTTTTTGTTTGTTCTATCTAATCTATCACACTCCAAAAAAGATTTAAAACCACCAGCTTTTATATATTAAAAAACTCATATTCTACTTCTAAGATGTTTCAAAATAGTAAGTATTAGCCCTCAACAACAAAAAAATATTTAGGAATAACATAACACAAATTCTGTCTAAGGAAACGAGTATTTGTAACCCGACACCTCAGGCAAGATAATCACTACGGTCAACCATGAAATTGGGCTCCTCATTTTCATATGGCTAAAGTACAAACAAAATTTTGGTTTATATTTTCCATTTTTGTTGAGGAAAAGCATATTCATTTGAATAGACAAATCTTTCCTCTGGTCTACACTCAAGAAAAAATAAACTACATGGACCTTGACTATATAAAAGATATAGAGAGCCTTAGTGAATTATAATGTTTGCAGAGTCATATACCAACCTACCTAAACATAAGCAAAATATTAATTTGTAAAAGACTTCTGTAGCATTTTAAGAGTTCATATAGTTATAGCCCTTCACATAATCTAAATTTGGATAAAATGCACAAGCAGAACATTAAAAACAAAACATCACCATAAAATCATAGACCTTCTAGATACTCAAAGTTCATAAAGTTCAACCTCTTAGGCACAGTAGTAATTTGCTAAAACATCCTTAAAATACGGGCCATCCAGAATCTGCTTGAATACAGCAGGGAACAAGGAGCTTACTGTTTTATATACAGTAGTCCCTACCTTGTCCACAACTTCACTTTCCATGGTTTCAGGTACGTACCGTGGTCAACCACAGTCCAAAAATATTAAATGGAAAATTCCAGCAATAAACAATTCAAAAATATTAAATTGAGCACTAAGTAGCATGATGAAATCTCACTCCAGTACGCCAGGATACCCTTTGTCCAGGGTATCCTGCCCATTAGTCACTTAGTAGGCATCTCAGCTGTCAAATCAACTATCAAGGTATTGCAGTGCTTGTGTTCAAGTAACCTTAATAATGGCTCCAAAGTGCAACACTAATGATATTGGCAATTCAGATATGCCAAAGAGAAGCTGGGTGCAGTGCTTCCGTTAAGTGAAAAGGTAAAAGTTCTCAACTTAATCATAATAAGAAAAGAAAAAAAACTATGGTAAGAATGAATCTTCTAACCGTGAAATTATGAGGAAGGATAAAGAAATTAATGCTAGTTTTGCTGCACACCTCAAACTGTGAGTTATAGCCACAGTGTGTGATAAATGCTTAGTTAGGATGGAAATGGCGTTAAATTTGTACAGTAAGATATTTTGAGAGAGAGACCGCATTCACTAAACTTTTATTACAGTATATTGTTATAATTGTTCTATTTTATTATTGTTGTTAATCTCTTACTGTGCCTAATTTATAAATTAAATTTTATTATAGGTATGCATGTGTAGAAAAGCACATAGTATATACAGGGTTCGGTACTAACTGCAGTTTCAGGCATGCACTGGGGGTCTTGGAACGCACCGCCCACAGATAAGGAGGGACCACTGTAAAACTTAATAAATAATTTAAAATGAATTTAAGTCAAAACCTAAATTCCATACATTGCCTCAAATTCTGTGGACCTATATGGCAACTCATTTAGAAAAGAAAAACAAGACTAAAGATAACCATAAATCTTCCTCTCAGATGAACCTGCGTTTCAAGTAGAGCGAAACTCTGTATGACTTGGGTAAAAACTTCTTAAACTCTCCAAGCCTCAGTGTTCTCGTGAACAACACAGAAAACACTTTTGTTTGCCTGTCAAGGTTACTTTAAGGATTAAATAGCATTTCTGCAAAAAGCCAGGTACATAGTAGGTGTTGCTACTATTCTCACAGGTTCATGACTCACACATTCATTCATGTACCATACATTTGAGCATCTTTTACATATAAGTTTTTAAAAGACCCTTAAGTAGCCACACTGGTTTCTGTCAATAACTCACCTCTAACTCTTTGATAACAGACCTTCATTTCTGAGCCTTCTACATCTATTAAATCATCATCTATTTAGAATATCAAGAGAATATCTAATGATCCTGGATAAATGAAATGTTTATCTAAATTATATTTAAAATAAGTATTAACTCATTTTAGTATCAACAGCATTTGTTAAGTCCCTATCTTGTTCCATATTCAAGATATTTCTAGGAAAAATAACAGCCAGCCTATAGGTCATAATTTGCTGACCCCTGCTATAAATATTTGGAAATGTTTCTTTAAAAAAAAATCACAAAAAGGAAAAGAAAAACCATCCATAATCCTACCACCTAGAGAAAAACTGGTTAATAATTTGGAGGATATCCTTTAAGTATTTTTCTGTGTATATGTATGTTTGCGTTTGAGTAAAGTACCAACAGCAAACTTGGGACCATACTTTATTATTATAAAGTTAGCTGTGTTATTAATATCTTCTACTACATGATTTTAATAGCTGGATAATATATGAATGTACGAGTATATCAATTTATCTAAATAATCTAATGATGGACACTTAGGCTATTTCCAATTTCCAAGTACCCTGACTACTATTATTTTTAAAAATTGCTACTTTATAAAAGAATTTGTATTTTATTGTTGTTCACGCTTTAAAGGTTCTCGGTTGAAAAATGCTAAGTGACCATTTGTCGTCCTTCTTTTGTGAACTGCCCATTAATCTATTTTGCTTATTTTCTATTGGGCTATTAAGATTTTTAAAATACTAATTTGCAATTGATCTTAATATAATAAGGACATTAATGCTCTCATAGACATAAATATTTTCCCCATTTTCTTTTCAACTTTGTTGATTTTTATCATCTTGCTTTTTGTCAGATTTTAGATTTTTATGTACTTAAATACATCAAACTTGCCCCATGACTTATGACGTTGTTCCTACACTTAGAAAAGCCTCCCCTTCACAGAGATAGGAATGTACATTCACATTCTTATAGCTTTATAGTCTCTGATACATATATGACTATATATATATATGCATGTACATATACAAACATACATACATATACACACTCGTAAATATACAGTATCCGTTCAACTCCATTCCTCCCTCTTCTTCATTCCCAGTGTCTTATTTCAAGCACCAATCATCTGTCACCTGAGATACTGCCCATTTCCATTCTCAATGGCTTGCTATCCATCCTTCACACTACTGCAGCAATAACCTCTTCAAAACTGGATATCTGAACATAATTCTGTCTTGCTTAAAGTCCTTGTAACGGGAGAGCTCTGAGAAGACAGAGGTTATGATGGTGGCAGAGTTTTTTAATCTCCCTGAATCCCCCCATTTTTGTGTGTATGTGTGCACAAGCAGGCCTGAGACTGCTTATCTTTAGAAAGTCCTGCTTTCAAGACTGGCCCTTGGCTGGAGTCTTGGAACTTGGATTTTTGGAGGGTTCCCACCACCCTAGCTGAAGAGAGTGGCTCACCGACTGATAAGAGTGGCTCACTGTGCCTAAACTGTTTGTGCAAAAGATATGGTTTATGGCTGAACCATGGCTGAACACCTGCTTTCCTTAGTAGAGTTTGGAATTTCGGTACATGCTAGGTAGAGGGTGCCTAGGTAACCAACCTCCAACAAAGTCCCTGGCCAGTGAGTCTCTAACAAGCTTCCCTGTAGACAATGTTCCATACATGTTGTCACAATTTGATGGGGAAATTAAGCACATCCTCTCCACTGAGATAACACTCTTGGAAGCTTATACTTGGCTTCCTTGGGACTTCACCCAATGCACCTTTTTCCCTTTGCTGATTTTGCTTTGTATCCTTTCACTGTAATAAATCATAGCCATGTGTATGACTACATGTTGAGTCCTGTGAGTCCTCCTAGTGAAACATCAAACCTGGTCTTGGGGAATCCCAGCACAGACAGTGAGTAGAAGTATGTGAGTGTGTGCGTTATGTGTGTGTGTGTTTTACAGATAGATAGCAAACCAAATAGCAGAACTAAAACCCCATGAAAACATTTACAACAAAACTAGACTATCAGGTATCCCCATGAGCCCCAAA